TGCATTTCTATTTTCTATTTTCATTTTATCACTAATACTCACACATTTTTTCATATTTTTGTAATAGTATGATAGTATATCTATAAACATATATAGGTGTGTGTATGTGTGTCTGTGTGTTTGTGTGTGTCTGTGTGTCTGTGTGTCTGTGTGTGTGTGATAGATATTAAAACCAGCTACGCAGCCTCAATAGTTTGGGTTGTATGATCTAATTTTATGACCAAAAATTAGAGTCTATAGAACAATTTATTAAAAAAACACTTCACAAACACCATTCTCATTGAGCCTGAACAGAGCTGGCCTTGGCAACGCATGCAAAATGAATATTAAGTAAAATGTATCCTACAATTTTCAGATTTTGTTTACGCTTTCTCGTCTGAATTAGAGGCGTTGCTCACAGTCAAACTATATGATTAGCAAAGTGTTGATATCCTTCTTTTTTTAATTCTTCTTTAAAACATATGGTATGCTATCTCAACATGTTTTGAACTTTTTGCCTTGGGCATAGTATGTATGACTGCCTAAATATAAGTCATCATAACACGTTTCTCAAGTTGATTTTATGTATATTGCCATATTCATTGTTTGATCATGCAAGAGTGAAGATTATGCTGTTAAATTGTCTGCAATTTACTAGAATTGGTCGCATTTTTCACAGAATATCCATTCGATAAGCCTAAAGGTGTATGAATATGAAATGCATATCACATCGTATATGGAAAATCCGCTTTGGCCAGATTCGTGGAAGAGGAAAGAGGAATGTGAAGTAGAGTTGGGAGGGAGGAGAAGCCCAGGAGGGAGGCAATTGTGGGCTCACCTGGAAAGAGACCTCCTTCAGCCGACGGTCCACTTTGCGCAGGTTCTTCTGGCTCTCGGCGTGTCGGCGCTGCTCAGCCTCCAACTCGCCCTCCAACTCACGCGCTCGTTGCTCCAGTTTGGCCAACGCCTTCTTGCCGCCCTTCATGGCGCCCGATTCACTCTCCTCCAGACGAGCTTGTAGCTCTTTGTTCTGTAGCTCCAACTGTTTTCGCGTCTTCTCGAGGCGCTGAGTGTGCTCCTGCTCTTGACGGATCTCCTCGAAGACTCGAGCGCTGTCGGCGATCGCCTTTTTGGCGCGCTCCTCCGCCTGTTTCGCCTCGTTGGCCACCTCCTCCAGATCCGTCTGATCGAAAAAGATGAAATATTCGAGGTTATATGAAACCGAAGCTAATGCAGCGGCTAATTTTTATCACAATCTTATTTGGCTGTGATTTGACCTCGCTTTCCAAACTTTGCTGTCAGACCGATCCAGACTAACACATTTTCTCCAGACTTTTATGACATATTAATTGTCATCATTTGTAGCGTCTTACAGTGGACTTGGTACATTTTCATACCTTTCCTCGGCAGCCTAGTCTTCGTCTTCAGTTTGACTTGCCACGAATGGCATCAAGAATTGTTTTATTTTGATGCTTAAACTGACTTGGTCAGCTGAAAATGCCGGTCCAAGGGCTAAGCTGGAAAGGGTCATGGTTACTAAGGCAGAGAATTAAGTATTGTTTTCGTGACTACCAGTAAAACAGTAATATGAGATGTATTCATCCAATTTCGTTTAAGGAGATGAAGGACTGGTAA